TCTATACATGTATAAGGCCTTATAGATTTTCAGAAATACTTTGGAGCTTTTTAAAGGCCCCTATGGATATCTCATTCCTGAGCTTTTCTTTATAAGCTTTTTAATGAGCTTATTATTTGCCCCAATTCTTTGTCTATCTCAGGTAGTTGCAATGCTAAATAATTGCCTCTTGTTTTCAGCAAATGACCCTGAGAAAAGGCTGTTCACACTATGTGAACTCTGAGTATATTAAATAAAGACAGCTTTGTAAATGGGGTCTTCCAGAAAATTATCAGATAATTCAAATAATAACAATTCTGTGAGGCTTTGAAGGGGCTCAGACAACTTTCTGCTCTTTTCAGTAGCTGCCAATTTTTGATGTGGTGATTAAGGTCCGAAATTCTCCCTGGAGCCTCCTAGGTTGTTTATTTTTTAATTGATGATTTGCAACTGAACTTATGGGTTTGAAAAACTTGGCTTGATTATTTAAAGAACTACTAATTTCACCTTTTGATACTGCCTTTGCGAAAATTATAACAGTGGGAAAATTATGACAGTGAAAGAGATCTGACTCGACCAACTGCATCTTGCTTCTAACATCCAATCTGTCCTTGCTCATTTCTAGGCATAGGCCAAACTAGCTTTGAGAGAAACTTAAGTTTAAGGTTAACTTTGAAACAAAGATAATCATAACCCTTTCATGAAACCAAACTTCTTCTTGCCTAGGGAACACACTGTCTTTGTAAGACTAATACATTAGCCATAATACAGGAAATTATGATTTAGGGAGTCATGCAGCTAGAGGCCATAAGATTCCAAACCTCCCCAGTCACTCCTAGGCATAACATTACTATTGTAAAACCTAAAATTGGTGCTTGAGATATTTTTCAGACCCTGAGTTCTGATGCACCAGCTGATGCCATCCAGACTGGAAATTTGGCCCAACCAGTTTTGTGATCCCACCCAGGAAAAGAAGGCAGCAAGAAGAAGCTAATTTAAGCCCCTATGATTTCATCTTTGATCTGACCAATCAGTACTCCCTACTCCCTGGTCCCTACCCACCAAATTCTCCTTAAAAGCTCTGATCTCCAAATGTTAATGGCAACTGATTTGAGTAATAAAACTCTGGTTTTCCATTTAGCTGGCTCTCTGTGAATTAAACTCTTTCTCTGCAGCAATTCTCCTGTCTTGATACATCAGCTTTATCTGCGCAGTGGGCAAGAAAAATCCATTGGGCCATTACACTTTAAGGTCTTTCTAGAAAAAATTCCTCTCACAGAAAATGGTAGCTCAAGCTGATGACACAGCATGGCCATTTGTGCAAATAAGGGCTCTTTGCACATTGGATGTCTCCCTGACTTCCTATGCTTGCCTGTACTCCCTTTCTCTTGCTATATCATATCCTTTGCCTTTAAATAAATGCCTATATGAATATACTTGGTGGAGTCTGGTGAACCATTTCAAATAACCAAACTGGAAAAATCTTTGCAATGCTATATCTATACAATATAATACTATGCAGCTGCAGAAAAGTATGTGGAATGTATCTGTGGACTGATATAAGAAGATATACAGGATATGTTGTAAAATGAAAATGTAGGTGAGGAAATGCGATATAGTATACTGTTTTTCTTGTAAGACAGGAGAGAAAGACAAGGTCATATAATTGTATTTGCCTGATTTGCATGAGGAAACACAGGAAGATTACACACACACACACACACACACACACACACACACAAACTATTAAAATGATTAACTATTGAAGTGGGGGAAGCAAGATATCTTAACAATAAATTTTCATATTGAAGATACTTGCACATGTATGTTTATAGCAGCAAAATTCACAAGTGAAAAATCATGGAACCAACTCAAATGCCCATCAATCAACAAGGGATAAAGAAGCTGTGGTGTATATATATGATGGAATACTACTCACTCATAAAAAGGAATGAACTAACAGCATTGGCAATGATCTGGATGAGATTGGAGACTATTATTCAAAGTGAAGTAACTCAGGAATGGAACACCAAACATTGTATGTTCTCATTGATATGTGGGAGCTAAGCTCTGAGGATATAAAGGCATAAGAATGATACAATCGTCTCTGGGATCTTGTGGGGAAGAGTGGAAGGGAGTGAGGGATAAAAGACAACAAATATGGTGCAGTGTATACTACTTGGGTGGTGGGTACACCAGGATCTCACAAATCACCACTAAAGAACCTACTCATGTAACCAAATGTCATCTATACTCCCATAACTTATGGAAAAAATATAATAATTAAAAAGTTAAAAATTCATATTGTTTTGATTTTTGAAACTCATATTACACACTCAAAAAATTAAAAGTTCAAATTAAACAAAAAGAAAAGAAAAATTAAGTTGTGGTGTCTAACAGGTATAATAAAATATACATGGTTTCAAATAAGTACTAATAAATAAAGATGGAAAAATAATAGACATGTCAAAGCATAAACATAAACAACAAAAGTAAATAGCAGCACAAGATAGGAAGCTGAAGTTTTACCTGGGTAACGTGGAAAAGGCTTGGATTATATTATTATTATATATATTATATTATTTTAGTTCAGGCCTTCTGAACAGCAGCACTAATGACATTTTGGGCAGGATACTTCTTTGTTGTGGTGGGCTGTCCAGCGCATTGTCAGAGAACAGCCCGCCTCCACCCACTAAATACCAGCAGCACTTCCTCCCCTGCATTGTGACAACCAAAAATATCTTCAAACATTGTCAAATGAGGTGCCGGTGGTGGCAGGAGCACAAAAATTGTGCCCAGTTAAGAATCATTGCTCTAAGTAAGTAGATTTTCTGAGCAGCTCTAGAAAATGTTTTCCTAGCAACTGGTCTATGTTCCAGAACCACTTTTTCATTGAGATGTCAAATATTTCATGTAATACTTTTCCAGTTCTTTATTGTTACTGTAATCTTGATGCTGCCAGTATGTTGTTTCGTAACTTCTTTGGAGTGACATTAACAATTTACTAGTAATATTTTCCCTTTAATAAGATACTTAAGTTGCTGAATCATTTGGTGTGACTTTATTACTTTGAAACTTTTTGTGTGGAGGCCAATCTCTATTTCTTTAATGATATTTGAAAAATGGAATTTAATACTAGTGTCCATATAGGTACTTAATTGAGAGGAGGAATATCTTTAATATGTTTGAAATAATCCTGTTACTGACTTCCTTTCTTTTTTACCTTTCCTTGAGGGTCTGGAATTCTTCAAATCCTTCAAGAAATTGTCCCGGGGTTGTTAAGTCCAGTAATTAGTTAATTAGCACCACAGCTGTCACAATCCCAATCTGAACGTGGCCTAAACTGAGATGCCACTGCTAGCACAGTAGCTCACCATTCTGGCAGCAGAGCTTGTAGTAGGTATGCAGAAATAGAAGGCGCTTCTCTCTCTGCTCTACTTATGATCTTCTGAGAGTGATGCATGTGGTCATAATTATTGTTAAATATAATCCTTCCGTTTCTGAAGAAAGCAAATCCAGAAAATTAAGTCATATGGTCTTAATGTGGACTGGTCCACAGATTACAGCACAACTATCTATTGAGCTTGATGTTAAATCTCCTTCCACTTCCCTGTCTTATTCCAGAGAGTGATGGTGGTGGTGTCAATGTGATTCATTTCAGTTCAAGGAACAAGAAAGCACGCATTTCCCAGGAGAATCACCGTGGTCTACCCCGTCTCTGAACCCACGTGGAAGGGTTTCCTCATTGGAAGTGAGATACAGTCAAAGCAGTAGTAAAGCGCACCGTTTTATACCTGCTTTGGGAAAATCATTATATTTTCGCTGTAAAACATACACACACACATACACAGAGAGAGAGAGAGAGAGAGAGGAATCTCAAGATGGGGTACTCTAAAATCTTCAGCCTGCAGCGGGATCTAACTACCTTCCCTTCCGTCCCAGTGCCTCCGGATGCTTGCAATCTCATTCGCAATTCACCAGCGTGTGTGAGTGTAGACTCCAGACCCAGCACAGAGGCCAAGAATTTGACCAAGGGCACCAGCTAAATAGCAAACAGATGTCTTGTCAAACATGTGAAAACCTCAGAGACTGGGGTACCTCCGGGAAAACCAGTTCCAGCCCAGGAATTTCTGAGTAGAAAAACTGGCCGCTGGGTTGCTTAATTCTCTTTGCTTGACCGGAGCCGGTTTTGAAAGCAAGTGTCCCTTCTCCCCCAGCTTCAGGAAGGGAAACCCCAGTTCCCGGCGGTTGCAGAGCTAAGAAAAACCATCCCGCCCGGCCCCTTCCTGTGGTAACGCTGGCCTAACCCAACTCTGCCCCACAACCCCGATTCACCCGGGAGACACAGACGCCAGGCTCCTTAGCACTTCGTCGCCTCTTCCTCCAGCCTGGCTTCCTAAGCTCCGTAAAGACTCCGGACTCCAGACCTTGTTTCCAACTTCGCATCCGCTGCCTGGGCCACATGCCTCCCTGGCTTATTTAGGAAGCGAAATTAAGGCCACACATTTGGCTCCAGAAATTTGTTCTGACGGCGCGGCCGACCCCCTGCAGGGTCGTTTCCGAACCACCAAATATCCTGGTTCTCAAGCCCTTACCACCCCCTAGCACACGAAGTGTTAAATTCCCAAATATCCTGGTTCTCAAGCCCTTTCCACCCCCTAGAGCACACGAAGCGCTAAATTCCCAAATATCCTGGTTCTCAAGCCCTTACCACCCCCTAGCACACGAATCCCTGGCTGGCGGTGGAGCAGGTGTGTTGCTGGTAGCTCATCGCTGGCGTCAAGATAGACCTGCTCCGTACGTGTCCGCTTTCAGATAACATCTGAAACCGTACCGAGGCACATCCTTCATCCAAATATCCACGTTTAAGGTGTCCAGATTTGAGTTTGGTCTGACCTACCCCCTCCCCGCGCCGACCCTGGAGGCATCTTCCGTGGGCTCTTTCTCTTCGAACCCCAAGGGGTACGTGCCTGGGTGTGCCAGGTCCGCCTCTTCACTGGCGCTGGCCAGGGGCGGGGTGGGTAGGCTGGGACCTGTGTCTGATTATCTGGGAGGGTGAAGCCACCGTCCCAACCGCTGTCTGCTGCGCTCCAGTCCTTCCAGGCTCTTCCAGGAGGAAAAGGCACTATACAAGAGAGGAGGGTAGGGGTCCCAGGACTGAATACCCTTGCCGGGGTTTTGACAGCTGCCGCCGTCTCTGAACTCCCAACTCGCGCTGAACCAGATCCCTGTCATGGGACCCCCTTCCAGCTCAGGTTTCTATGTGAGCCGCGCGGTGGCCCTGCTGCTGGCGGGGCTGGTGGCCGCCCTCCTGCTGGCTCTGGCCATACTCGCCGCCTTTTACGGCCGCTGCGCGCGCGTCCCACCGTCGGTGCTGCCGGGACTCGGGGACTCGGAAGCCGAGTGTTCTCCCCCTCGCAGGCAGAAACCGACGCCGACCCTGACGCCCGGCAGTGCAGACGAGCTAGCGGTGACCACCACCCCTAGAGACGAGCGACCCCCGGGGCCCTGGGACCACCTACGCCTGCCTCCCTGGCTCTTGCCGCTGCACTACGACCTGGAGCTGTGGCCACTGCTGAGGCCCGACAAGCTTCCAGCGAGGTCTTTGCTCTTCTATGGCCGCGTGAACATCACGGTGCGCTGCACCATGGCCACTGTTCGACTGCTGTTGCATAGCGTCTTCCAGGACTGCGAGGGCGCCGAGGTGCGGGGCCCCCTGTCCCCGGGCACTGGGAACACCACCGTGGGCCGCATACCAGTGGACAAGGTGTGGTTCGCGCTGGACACGGAATACATGGTGCTGGAGCTCGGTGAGCCCCTGCAACCTGGTAGCAGCTACGAGCTGCAGCTCAGCTTCTCGGGCGTGGTGTTTGAAGACCTCAAGGAGGGACTCTTCTTCAGCGTCTACACCGACGACGGAGAGCGCAGGTAAGGGCTGGACTGCCCGGGGCCCCTCTCGGCTCTCCCCTCCCTTCCGCCCCCTCTGTCCAGGTGCAGCCTGCAGATCCAGCTGCCGACCTTACCCAGGTGCGCGTCTGCTGCCCTTTCCAAAGAATCCCCAGCCCATCCCTTGCAACGTTTTCTTCCAAAGCCAGAGTGCCAGCGCCTCCTTCCTCCCTTTTCCTAAGACTTTGGTCGGAATAAAGTGACCGTGGAGACCGCAGCCCTTCCTCTGGCTAGTTTCCAACCCTGTTCCTACTCATCCAGTTTGCTTCTGTTGTTGCCCCTTCTGAGGCCGCTGGTACCCCCAGCTTGTCGTTTTCTTCAGAAAGCATCTTTCCTCTCTGGCCCTAAATTTCGTCACCCCATTCAACAAACCCCTTGGCCCTCAAAGGTTGGTCCTTGGACCAGCGGCAGCTGTAACCTGGGAGCTTATTAGAAATGCAGAATCTCAGACTCCACGCCCACCAAGGCAATCGGAATTTCCGTTTTAAGTAGATCTCCTGGTGACTGAGGCGCGCTAAAGTTGGAGATGCGTCTGGCTAAAGTACCCTACCGGGTTCTGAGTTTCTTCCCTCCCCAAGCCCATCTCCCTGCTTTGTCTCTTTCTCCAGGCACTCTGTAACTGCTGCTCTTACAACAAATACACGCACGTTGGGGCTGTTTGTTCCAGTATCTTTTGATTTTTGCAGGTTCTCCAAAATTCAGGAATCGCCTTTAAGTGGTGCCCTGCCAGGGCAGCTTGGGGTCCGCATCATCTTTTGCTGGCGAGCAGCTGCATCCCTACCAGCTCCTGGCTCTTAGTCGAGCTCTGCAGAATGTCAAAGTCCGGCACTTTTGTGGCCTCTCTGCCGTTGAGTGAAGGGGGTGTGGGGGGGGGACAATAAAGGGATAATAGGAGAATAGGAGACCTACCCTGCGAGTTTGCAAGCCCATGTAATGTACATGTGCTCTTTTTACACTCATTTGAGATAGTATCTCCCACACGGAATGTCTCCTGCCCCTGCGCAAGAATTGTCTCTTTCCAGGCTTGGAAACCACGATACTGTACACCAGCGAACACCAGGGAAATGGCTTAAGTGGGAGATATCAAAATTTAATTTTTTCCAACCGGCGATCTCTTTCTCCACTCACACACTGGCCGAGCATTTGCGACTACACAACTGCATGTACTTTGTCCTTTATTATTAGAGAAAATGTTCTCAGTTGTTCTCTGAGGGGAAGAATCCCACTACATTACCCCCCTAAACCATCTCCTGCACCGCCTTAAAAATTTCAAAGGTTTAAAAATAAGTTTAAAGAGCTACCCTAGTGGATGTGTAATCTGTAACTTTTGTTTTTAAGGGCAATGTGCTTGGTTTTTCTCTTTAAAAAATACATCAATGCTTGAAAAAATAGTTTTGAAATTTTCTTATTCAGATGTGTTACTCAACTTATGTGAAAAAGGAATCTTTTGAAATTACTGTGTACATCAAGGTGCAAAATATTTCAGAAGAAAAAAATGGAAACATTTTGCCTACATATCTGACTTTTTTTTTCTTTTTTTTTTTTTGCTGTAGATCCGTAAATCTTCCTCTGTTCACCTATCTCTTCCTTGGTCCTGTCTCAGCAGGGCTGTAGCCCAGACAAGCTTGCAAAGATGGGAAAGGAAAGTCCCTTTCCATTTTTCTATTGTGATGCTAACTCTAGTGTTAACTAGAAACTATATTTTCAGAACATTAAAATTCAAGCTAGAAGAAATCTTAGATGTTCATAAACCAAGGTAGAGCTCCAAAATTGTGATGTTTTGGAAGAGTTGCCAAAAGGCCCTCTGGGTCTCTGCTTCTGAAACCACAAGGAAAAGACACCTAAGGTTAAGCTTGAAGTAACGGTCATGGAGAAAGTGCATCAGAAGGATGGCTTGTGGTACAGCAGATTCTGGGAGCCCAGCAGGTCTGAGTTTGAACCTGAGCTGCGTGAATTGAGCTAGTCTCTTAACCTCTCTGAATCTGTTTCCTGATTCACAGAGTAGATATAATAACTGTCAACTATTAAAGTACTGTGAGAATTAAATGGAAAAGTGGAGTACACAGTGATACATACAGCCTGGGTAGTGGAAACTGCTATCCTTAGTTCAGATTATCATTATGATCAGCTTCCTTGTTATCTAAACACAGAACCTGCCAAGTTCCTAGTATATATGAGTCAAAGAAGATTCCCAGAGGAGAAGAAGGAAAAAGCTGAGGGAGTGGGGAGTTATTGCTTAATGGATATAGATTTTAGTTTTGGAAGATGATAAGAGTTCTGGAGATATGTTGACAACCTATCTCCAGAACTTATTCACAATGTGAATGTACTTAACGCTACTGAAATATACACTTTAAAATGTTAAAGTGGTAAACTTTATGTTATGTGTAATTTACTAGAATTCAAAATTTTTTAAGAGCAAAAATACATTATAGATCAGTGAGTTTAGAATGGGATTTGGAGATTTGTATGTTTTGACAACTGTCTCAGATAATTCTGATAGCTTCAATTAGCACCTGATCATTTTGTGTCCTGCACCCAAATCTCATTTGGAATTGTAGTTCCTATAACCCAGTGGGAGGTAATTAGAACATGGGGGCAGTTTCCCCCATGCTATTCTCCTGATAGTGAGTAAGTCTCATGAGATCTGATGGTTTTATGAGCATCTGGCATTTCCCCTGCTTTCACTCACTCCATCTTGCTGGCCTGTGAAGGAAGTGCCTTTCTTCCCCTTCACCTTCTGCCATGACTGTAAGTTTCTTGAGGCCTTCCCAGCCATGCAGAACTGAGTCAATTAAATCTCTTTTGTTATCAATTACCCAGTCTTGAATATTTCTTCATAGCAGCATGAGTACAAACTTATACAGTACCTAATACTTTTTTCTTATTTTTAATTTTGAAATAATTATGGATTCACCAGAAGTTGCAAAGATAATGTAGAGAGATCCTGGGTACACTTCATCTAGTTATTGTACATAATTATAGTACAATTGGTACTATGTATATACAAATGTTTTTATGTCATTCATCATATGCGTATATTTGTGCAAAAACTACCGCAATAAAGATACAGAGCTGTTCCACCTCAAAGATCATCCTCATAGTTCTGCTCTGTACTCACTCATACCACTCCCTAATCATCTCTAACCCCTGACAACCACTAATCTGTTCTCTATCTTTGTAATAATATCATTTTGAGGATGTTCTATAAATGGAATTATATAGCATGTGACTTTTAGAGATTGACTTTTCCGACTCAGCAAAATTCCCCTGGGATCCATCCAAGTTGTAAGCATCAATAGTTTGAGTCCTTTTATTGCTCAGTGCTATTCCATGGCATAGTTTATTTAGTCATTCATCTATTGAGGAGTATTTTGGTTGTTTCCAATTTTTTGTTATTAAATATAAATCTTCTATGAATAATTGTGACAGATTTTTCTCTTTAAGAGGCAGGGCTCCTCTATGTTGCCCAGGCTAGCCTCAAACTTCTGGCCCCATGGGATCCTCCTACCTTTGCCTTCCAAAGCACTTGTACAGGTTTTCATGTAAACACAGTGTTTATTTTACTGGGACAAATGTCCACAAATGTCATTGCTGGTCATGTGGTAGTCTCATGTTTAGTTCTTAAGAAATTACCAAATTGTTTTTCAAAGTGGCTATACCATTTTACACTCCTACCAGCAAGGCAAGTGTGATAGAGGTTCTCCGTATCATGGCCATCATTTAGTATTGTCACTATATTTTTGCTGTCCTCATAGGTGTAAGGTAATACTCATTGTGGTTTCAATTTGCACATCTCCAATGGCTAATGATGTTAAACATCCTTTTGTGTGCTTACTTGCCATCTGTTTGTCACAGTCAGTGAAACGTCTTTTCATGTCTTTTCCAATTTTCTAATAGATTTTATTTTTTTACTGTTGAATTCTGAAAATTCTTTATACGTTCTAGATCTAAGTCCTTTGTGAGATATATATGGTTTGCAAATATGTTCTCTCAGCTTGTCTTTTCATCACCTTAAGTTCTTTCAGAGAATACTAGTTTTTAATTTTGATGAAGTCCAATTAATCTATTTTTAGATTAATTGGATCATGCTGTTGGTGTCATGCCCGAGAACTCTTCACCAAGCCCTAGGTTCTGCAGATTTTCTATATTGCCAAAAGTGTTTTACAATGAAATCTATAATCCACTTTGAGTAATTTTTTAAGATGTCATGTTTAGGTTGAGGTTAATTCTTTTGTCTATGGAAACTCACTTTTTCCAGCATCATTTGTTAAAAAACTATCTTCCATCTGTTGAATTGTACTTCTGTTAAAAATCTGTTGGCCACAGTATTACTGGATTCTCTATTCTGTTCCATCAGCATTGGTGTTGATTCCTCTGCCAGTACTACAGTCTTGATTACTGTAGCTATATAATAAGTCTTGAAATTGTCTTCGTTTTTAGAATTGTTTTAACTATTTTAATTTCTTTTCCTATCCCTACGTATTTTACAATTTTCTTATATATAGCTACTAAAAATTTTATTGGAATTTTGGTAAGACCTATATTAAACCTTTATGTAAATTTAGGGAGAATTGATAGCTTTACTGTCCTTAATCTTCCATTCTATGAGCATGAAATGTCCATTTATTTAGATTATTTATTTATTTCATCAGGATTTTTATCATTTTTAGCATACAAATCCTACATATGTTTTGTTAGATTTACACTCAAATATTTAATTTTGTTTGAGAAATAGTAAATGGTGTTATATGTTTAATTTTGGTTTTCTACATGTCTGTTGCTGCTATATAGAAATACTCTTGTATGCTGATCTTGTATCCTGTGCTCTTGCTGAAGTCATGAAATCTAGGGCTTTGTGGTTTTTATTTTGTAGAGCCTTTGGAATTGTCTAGAAAGATCATCATGTCATTGACAAATGGAAGCAGTTTTATTTATTCCACTTCAATCTCTCTGCCATTTGTTTTCTTTTCCTGTCTTATTGTGTTGGCTAAGACTTCCAGCCCTATGTTAAATAAGAGTGGTAAGAATGAACATTCTTGATTTTTCTCCTCAACTTAGGGGGAAGTTTTTAGCCTTATCGACTAAGTAAAATATTAAATGCAGGTTTCTGTATATGTTTCTTTTTTATCATATTGAGAAAGTTGTCCTCTATTCATATTTTTTTCTGAGAGGTTTTTTTTCTTGCATGAATGCATGTTGAATTTTTCCAACATTTTTTCTGCATAAATTGATATAATTATGTGATTTCTTCTTGAGCCTATTAATATGGGTATTATATTGATTGATTTCTGAAAATAGTGAGCCAGGCTTAGTGCCCCACCCACCCTTATTTTTAAGAGATGGGATCTCACTCTGTCACCTGGGCTGGAGTGCAGGGGCATGATCATAGCTCACTCAAACTCTCAGGCCCAAGTGATCCTCTTGCCTCAGCTTCCTGACTGGATAGAAGGACAGGCACCTGGTTAGTGCCCCACCCTTTTTGATAAGAGCCCTTGCTATACAGTAGAGGAGAGTGGACAGTCCTTTTAATGCAGGAAGGAAGATTGGGAACACAGAGAAAAGAACAAATGGAGAAAGCAAGAGTCTTTACTTTGTACCCTCCTCCTTCTGACAGGGTATGTCCCTCAGGGAAAGTATTTTTATGAAAGTAATTTTTCAAGAAGGATTCCCAGAAAAAACCAGCTGGAGAATGAGCAAGTGTGACTGAGAAAAGAAGAAGGCCAAGCTGGAATATGCAATTAAACAAAGCTCCATGGAGTAAAGTTCTGTAGAGTGTGAACCACAGCTTAGAATTGGAGGTATTGGGAGCAAAGGAGCAGGGGAATTTTCCCCCTCCACACCGGCTGTAGCCTGGCCTTGAGACTAAGTTAATTCCCAAGTAGTCTGCTTTTCAGTAATGCAGGCAAAGAGATTCCACGGGGCGCCTTGTTCTTCCCTTTATGATCAGTGTGGCTCTGCAGCCAGTGGCTTCTAATTCATAGAACAGTAGATTAGGACAATGGGCCTTAGATACTGAAGGTGGTCCCTGCAATCCATTTGATGCCTAAGGGGATCTAGGATTTTATATATGGGCTGAGGATATTGACTAGAGAGCTATAGAGAGTCTACCATATTTCATACTTTTCTGTATAGGCGCAGAAGTGGTTCAAAGTAACTGTGTTGTGTTGAAAGCTGTAA